CAAACATTACCAGAATTGAACTTCTTACCTTGTCAATCAATAAATTTGCTTCGCTTTGCTCGCTTAAAAAAATGTCGTCTTTGATGATGTTTTGTCTGTGTGAATTGATCTCCAGGAAGACGTGAGGGAATATATATCGCACAATCTCAGCTGACTGAAAATCTCCCTCAGAGGATGAAATTGTTAGTCATAATGAAAAGCAACGAGGTCAATAGCTTAATTAAGCTTTTAAACAACGAATAAGGCTACATCCCTTTAAAAAAATCTCATTTTCGGAGTAGAGCGATTTATTCAGGTTTTCGATTGGGTTATACTAATTTAGGACTGGGGCTCAAAAGAAATAAGTATGTTCCAAAACAATTACACGTGAATAGCGTAAAACGCGCGCGCTGATTGGCTACTCAAACTCCGAATATCGTTTGTTAGTATATGCCACTCAGGTTGTTATTCATCTCTACTTAATAATTGCTAATAAGGAAATTTTCAACTACAAATAGTGCATTTCTAGTGTTCTTATTGGTTTATCGACTCATATCCTGAATCACCTTATAGAAATACATTGCACCAACTGTTGCGGAGCTGAAAAAAGGCTCCGCTAAATATCCAAACTTTTCGCACTCGTCACATACAAGACTGGTTACCGCCAAATCAGCGCTACGCGTCATTTTGGTTATTTACCATCTCATTTTCAACGCGCGCTCATGGAGTAATCAGTTAACTATTCACTTCCGAGTAACACACGTGGGATTTGCACCCAAAAATGTTATAATCGTTGCAGGAATGAATGAGTCCAAATCATCTTTTTGTGCTATATTATCTTACTGCTTTAATGTAACAAAAATAACTATTCACCTTAGTATCGGTGGTTAACAGTGGATATCTGCTTCGTTGCTCGGTTAATATCCACCTGCAGCCACCTCCACTTCAAAAATAGGTAAATAGTTGAAAACATAATTATGAACTCGCGGGAACAGTAAGAAAACCAACAAGCTTTTTGGTTCTAAACTTCTTTTGTCTGGTGAACATTCCTGGGGTAGTTTGTTCCTGCTAGGGACTCCGATGTTTCCAGAGAATTAAAAGATTTGTTTTCGCGTTTGGCATACCAAGGTTAGCCGTCTTCAAGATTGTGATTCGACCAGTACGTCAAACTCAAAACGATCTTAATTATCTCAGCAACCCCTTTTTAAAGACTTATCTCTGACATGAGAGTTGACCCAGGTTTTTTCCTCCCGCTTCACATGAAAAGACAGGAATTTCTCTGAGGTTTTGGTATCAATGGTCTGCAATACGCCAACCTCATCGACTATGCGACCTTTCGAAAGTCGTCTTAAACAGACCTGGAATTACTCTTGTCCTGGATTTTTTATATCTCAATGCGATTATTCAAGATGTTGAGAGAAATATCACATTCAGAGCAATTTAAAGGTCTTCGGAACTTGATAGCTTTGCAATGTTTGTGTTTGAGTCAACTGAGTAGATGTGCACCCAGTTCAAAGGAAGTAAGTACTGTAGTGTCTAAAAATGAAGAAGTATGCCACAAAAGGCAGCCACGAAGGC